CACACACACACACACACACAGCCATACCTACCAAGGGACCTGTGTGCCCTGATCATGCCTTCCCTCTGGCAGCCGCCGTCGCTGCTACACCTGGCCTCACCCTGGCTGTGGCAAGACCCATCCTGTCTAGTCATTCTTGCTCATCAAGGAACCTGAATTTTAGGAGGAAGTTTCTCGTTCCTAAGGTAAAGCCTGGCTGCATTGGATGGGCTCAAGCAGTGGACTTCTTAAACCCTGGTCTCAAAGATCAACTCAGAATTTCCGCTTGTCTAGTAGTCGTAAACCAGGGTGGGAATGTGGGTAGAAGTCTAGAATCACTTGCATGGGACAAGAAAAGCCAAGGGCAGAGAGGAAAAAGGCTCACCTTCCATCACCCAAAGACTCAGCAAGCCTCCCTCAACTCCACAAGGAAAGGCTCATCCTGCTTAACTACTTTGGCTTCCTCTTCTGAAGTATCCGCTGTGTAGGGGCAGGGCATCTATCTGTGTATAGCTACTCTTAATACTGAGCTGAGCATGCTTGGATTAGTGGGATAGCTAGAAAGCATTAATGAGCAACTATGCTAAGCTAGGTTCTCTTCTCAGTGTTCTTGCTCTTGGGGGCTGACATTCTGGTGTAGGGAGAAGATCCTGGACAGGTAAACTGGGAAGGCAAGGGTGGGCAATTGTGTTGAGAAGGAAGAGGGATGAGGGATGTGGAGATTGGGGCAGGAGAAAGTGGAGAAAGACCCAGAGCCATGCCCGCAGCCCTGCCTCCCCTGCTGCAGCCCCCAGTACCTCATCAGGACATAATTGGGGCTCATCTCCTGGGCTGGCCTGATTCTTTTCCAAGGAGCATGACTTCCCTGCTTCCTGTCCTCAAGGTGGCCACCTCCCCTCCCAGACCAGGTCTTGGGAACTGTGCCATTGCAGGCTCCCTCCCCCATAACTGTCCTGTGACTCAGTGGGACCCAGAGGCCTGTGGTTCTATGTGTAGCTGGCTCCCCCTCCCAGCCCTTGTGTCCCTGCCTTCCGTGCACTCCCACTGCCAAATGCTCAGATGTCTATGCCCAGTAGAGGCGGTACACATTTGAATTCAAACCTCCTAGTCCTGGCTGGATGGGACAGGCATGATATAGTGGAAAGACAACAGCCTTTGGAATCAGACAGCCCAGGGTTTGAATCTCAGTAAGTGCCTGGGATCGGCTGAGGGCTCTGGTTTTCCATCTGCAAGATGTAACTACAATCTCCACCTTGGTTTAGTTGAGATGCGGAGAATACACTGAAAGAGTCTAACAGCGGACACCTAACGAATGGCCATATTGTGGGTAATGCTGCTGTGGTATCTGGGCCTGTCTTGAGACAGGGTATCCCTTCCTACTCCAGGCTGTCACTATGTAGCCCAGGTGGCCTTAAACTGAGGGTGATCCTCCTGCCTCAGCTCCTGAGCACTGGGATGACAGCTGGGCACCAACACAGCTGGTTGGCCCTGTCTTAAAGCAGATATTCACCTGCCTGGCAAGCGCAAGGTCCTGAGTTCAATCCCTGGCACTGCAAAATAAATAAATAAATAAATAAATAAATAAATAAATAAATCAAGCAAGCAAGCAAGCAAGCAAGCAAGCAAGCAAGCAAGCAAGCAAGCTGATGTTTCTCTGCCATGGGAATGGGACATGCTGGTGCCCCTAACCAGCACAGTGGAGCCAACCTGACTTGGGGTGACTTGCTCAGCCTCAAGTGTGGTATTAATGGTATTAATGGCTTTTACAAATTGGAAATTCAATTGGCAAAGATGTTAAGCTCAGAATTGGCAAGGATTTCTGGGAGAGGCCCCTTTCTCCTGACCATAGATGCATGCTTTGTTGGATAAAGGCTTTCAGTGAGGGAATCCTTCCACATGGGAGTAGAGGTAAGTGGATAAAGGGCCATCTCATGGGTCCTGCCTAGATGCAGCCCCTGCACCCCAAGACAATCCTGCCCCAAGAAATTCATGGAAACACAGGCACCTGTACATTATGACAGTATTACTTATAATATCAAGCAAATTTTTAAAATCTCATTGTCTAACACTAGGGGCTTGGCTAGATAAAGCATGGTATTACCCTGCTATAAAAAAATGTTTTTGCAGAAAAATAATACAGGGAGATGTTTACACCAAATATTGAGTGAAGCAGGCTATGCACCAGTATTGTAGATCAAAGCCCTCGCTCACAATTCCCCCTACATCCTAACAAGCCAGAAAGACCAGACAGACCCCAAATATCCGCGCTCCTTCTGGGTAGTGGGATTACAGTTGGCTTTTACCTTTTTCTTTGAGTATTTCTGCATTTTGCAAAATCTCTACAATATAAGAAAAGTTAGAAAATCGAATTTATTTTGAAAAAATATGGAATGAGTATAGATTTAATTTAAATTTGTGCTTAATTCACGTATTACCCTAAAGATAATTTCCAATGATCATTAATGAACAAATGATAAACTGAAATTGTCCCTGGAATCCTTTATAGGCTTTTCCCCCTTCACATTCTTTTTATTTTGGAACAGTATTAGATTTAGAGAAGGGTTGCAAGGATGCCCAGGGAATTTATTACCTCCCTTACCTGCTTTGCCCTGTTACTGGCATCTCACTTACCGTACCCTTTTCCCAACTGATAAACGGGCATGGCTTGTCACTGTGAACTAAACTCCCGATTAATATCTCTGGGTCCTGTATGAATTGGATACTCTAAGAAAGAAAGAGAGGAGGATCATGATGATTACTAATACCTGGGAATTTCTTTCATTCAGATCTCTTTCCACAGATGTCCCCAGACGCCACTCGTCCCTTTATTTCTCTGTTCCCCAGAACCCACAGAAACGCGCGGATATCCCTGAGACCCCAGGATTTGGGCTGCTGCCCGCTGCCTTTCCGGCTGGCTCACGTGCTGCCCCAACCCTGCAGGAGCTGCGGGCCCTTGGCTAGGCTTGGCTCGGCGCGACCAGTGGCCAGTTGTGCGCGCGGGCGGCGCCGGTCACCTGTCCCGTGGCCCCAGCGGCCGCTCCGCCCCTGTTTCTATAAGCCTCGCCACCCGCCCGCGCTGCTGGTGCGCCCGCAGCATGGCCCGGAACACCAACCTCCGCTGGCGGCTGCCGCTCACCTGCCTGCTGCTACAGGTGGCTATGGTGGTCCTCTTCGGTGTGTTCGTGCGCTACGACGCCGACGCCGACGCCAGCTGGAGGCAGGAGAAGCAGCTCAGGAACATCTCCAGTGACCTGGAGAACGAGTTCTACTACCGCTACCCGAGTAAGTCCGTGCTCACCTGGGCCATCAGCGCGCTGCCCTCCTGGCTGGCAGAGGGACAGGGGTAGCCAGGGATGTCGTGCTGTCCCCTTCAGGGGGGACACTGGTCAGCCTCTGCACACAACCTCTTCCCTGGGAGCCACAAGGATGTAGCCGGCTCCTGGGTTTTATTCTGTGGTCCTCACAGCCCTCCCACGACTCTGCCAGAGGGCGCCACTGTGTGTCCTCAAAACCCCCAGTTCACCTGCCTGACCACCTAGCGGTGACTTGGCTCCCGTGTCCAGCTGCTGTGGATAAGAAGGGTGGTTCCTCGGCAAGGGCCACAGGGATGACCCTATAGCTTGCCAGTCCTGATATGGGAACAGCTGTGTGAGACAAGCTTGGGTGCTGGACCAGGAGGCCATAGCACCCTTGCTTTTTGAGTTTGGCAAGGGACAAGGGCTCTCCCTGAATTTTCCATACCTTTGGTGCCATGGTGAAGAACACAGCCATCCCTGGATTCAGAGATCTTCCTACCACGGCTCTGCCACTACCTAGGTGGGTGGCCTTGGACACATGTCGACCTTGCTGAGTCTCAGTTTCCTGGTGAGTCAAACAGGGACCATAACAGGGTAGGACACACTTGGTCTGAGACAGGACCAAGCTTACACTGTGTGTAAGCTTGCACACAGTGCTGGGTGTGTAATCACTTCCACAGGAGCAGCCACGGCCACAGCAGAACCCTAGGCTGCCAGGAGCTGCCAGAGCTGGCTCCGGGTCTCTTGGGTGGCCTGACCTTGGGACTTCCAGCTGGGAACCCTTTCCTTGCCCTGTGCTCTCTGATTTCCTCTCCATCTACTGGGAGCCAATGAGAATTCTCTGGCCTGTTGGCACTGACTGTTAGTTTTGGAAGGGACCCCAAAACTCATCTCCAGGGGCCACCTATGCCAAGCAGTCCCCAAAAGGGCTGCACACTCGGTAGCAGGGCGTCCTCTACCTCCAGGAATGACATTTTATTGATGCTATTCACATCGGCAGCCTGCATGAACAAAGACTGAATTTGGGGATGGGGCATGCGGGCTGAATGGGAACCAGCTGTAGTAAGGGGCTACCAAAAAGTCAAGGCTATTACAGACAGGCTATATTAATAGATACATGGTGTACCAAAAAAAAAATAGATATATGGTGTAAAGAAGGGAGGCAACCGAAGGGTGTGCCGCCTGATGATGAGACCATAGCCTTGACCCAGCCACTTAGGACAGCGTTTTCAGGCGTCTAGACAGCTGTAGCCTGGGGGTTCCAGCTCAGTCCTCCCTCACATTGCCTACCTTTTGTCTCCTGGTAAGAGACTGAGACACGGAAGTGGGGAGCCTCTGCCTGTGGCTCCTTGTCCCCACAGCTCCAGCTTTCCCAGGAGCAGTGTGAACCCCAGGCAGACATCTTGATTGTCCGAGCAAACTAGGACTGTGGTCACTCTGGACAACAGTTGGTCATCCTGGATTTTGAGCCCCCGAGAGCTCCCAGACTTGGTAGGGGCAGAGAGGTGCTCTCCAACATCCAGGACCTTAGTGGAGTCAAGTGCTCTGGGTAAACTAGATCTGTGACAGTCACACAGGGAACAGTGGACAGTGAGGAGCAGAGACACGAAGCAGCGGAGGGGCCCACCCAAGGGTGCTGGGAGGTGGGGAGCATGAATACTCACAGTGCCCTAGAGCAGGATTGTGAGAGACGGGGAAAGCTGGGTGCAATGGTGCATACCTGTAATCCCAGCACTGTAGGAGGCTGAGGCAGGAGGATCAAGACCAGCCTGGGTAACTTAGCAACCTTAGCAAGGCCTTGTCTCAAAATATAAATATAAATGATAAATAAATAGATAAATAGATAAATAAATAAATAAATAAATAAATAAATGGCTGGGGCTGTAGCACAGTGTGAAGGTCCTGGATTCAATCTCCACTAACACCAAAATAATTAATTAATTAAAATAAAACTTTAAAACACCACATAA